CCAATCAATGTGCAAGACACAGTTCCGTCCAGCCAATCGGAGGCGTCTGCACCCCCCACAGCTCCCCTAGGCAGGAGGGGAGGTTTATAAAGCCGAGTGGGTAGAGGGGAGGGGAGCAGCACTGCGGAGCTACGGCTTTGAGAGCTAGGAGACAAAAGGCATCCAGCGAAGCCCGGAGCTGTTCCTCTCATCAGCGAGGACTGGCCTGCTTTTCATCCTCCTGCCGTCAGAGAGCAAAGTGGTGTCAAGATGCCTGAGTGCTGGGATGGGGTGAGTGGCTCAGGGGTCGAGCCAGGCTTGTTCGTCTCGTGTGCATGGCTGTCCATGAGGGAATAAAAAGGATGGGGTCGGGTATGGGCTGGCTACACCTCATCTGTTATCTGCTCCTAGGAAAGCAAGGATGAATGCTGTTGGTAGTGCATCTCTCTCTATTCACCTGCTTCAATGATCTTTCTGTTTTCATGCAATGATCACTTTTATTATTTTATTATGTGAGAGAGCCTGTCCTTGTTCCAGGATGTATATCGGCTCTTCAGTCTGATCAGGTAGCTCCAGTGCAGGACTGCCGAGGCCAGGGCTGGGCAGGTCCCTCTGTGCACGTGCACAACGCTGGCATGGCTAGGATTGCACACAGCAGGGCTCCTCCACTGGAGAGCCGCGGCTCCACGCTGGGAGAAAAAAAAATCACGCCGGATATCTGCGTTCTCCGTGTGCGAGTGCAATAGGGCTGGTAGGCAGGGCGCACCATCTTCATCTGCTGGAGGTCAGAGCACACAGCCACCTGGCACAGTGACCTTGAGGAGGAGCAGATCTGCTCAGCTTCAGTTTCATGCCATCATTGTCTTCTTTAGAGATCATTAGGAATGAAATTACAGCATTGCCGCTTTCTGAATCTGCCTTTTGAGGAATAAGTGTCGCAAAAGCATTTGTTAGACGCAGTCTGTGTTTGTGGATTAAATATGTGTGAATGGTTTTTTTTAGTGTGTAAGGGCAACAAGGTCAAGCAAAGGTTTTTATTTTTTTTCTGTTAAACATAAGACATGACAGTTTATTATTGCCTTGTTTTAGTCTTCCAATTATACAACCAAAATACTAATAATGTGTTGGGTATTATGAGTAGCATAAGTCTTTTTGTCCTTTTTATAAAGGATATTTAAAGATCTTTATTGTGAAAGGCACTCTATTCTACTA